ATATATATATATATATATATATATATATATATATATATATATATATATATGTAATGTAATGTATGTATGTATCACTGCTAAGCAATTGCAGCCACAGAAAGAACATCAGTCCCCACAAAATAATTTCTCTTGTGTTCAATTATAGTAATTTTAATGCCGCTGGCATTACATATATTATGACATACATTGCTTTTTGAATTCCATAAGTTCGATATAATTTAATAGATTCAATAATTACTTTTTTCATATTTTATCTATTGCTTTTATCTATTGCTCAATTATATCGTTGTCGATTCATCATAGTTTTTTTGTACATGTATATGACTTTTTTCAATTTGTATGTATTCTTATGCTTTCGTAAAAATATTTTGTGAAAATCCGTTTCGCCTAACAAATATATGACAAAAATACAAATCGTGAAAACTTCCTTTGTCATTTTAAGCTATACAAGCTAAAGATATCGAAGGTTCGATTTTACGAGGTAGCGGAAAGAATCCGTACGAACGGAAGATGAAAGCGGAGGAAGAAAACGGAGGACAGGGATTCGAATAATGGGTGAATCTTGCGCAAAACTGAAATGATTGATGGCAGTCCGGGCGGAGACTGGGAAATACCTCGGGAACAAAAGGAGGAGAGGATATAGTTAAGCTCGTATGTGGACTAGGTCGGTACCTGTAACGCTCGAATGTAGTTAATTCGATAATAGTGACACTACGGAAAATCATCAATCGCGGCTGGCTCTCAATGAGTGTTTTAATGAGTTTTCCAATCTTTCTCGAAAGCTCACATTTGCCATAGTTCGATTTTCAGAAAACAATCCCTATTTGCGCCTTTTATTATTTTTACAAATAGAATTCATTGAACTCAAAATTATAGGCGTACGTTTCATATTGTAGAAAAAATTATATTAGGTATGACAAATAATATTAACGTAGAAAATAAATTACAAAGAATTATTGTTGTTTGTACATGATTTATATTTTAATACTTTCACTTGTTTTAACTATTTTCATGAAAATTTTATTGTTTTTTTATAAAGTATTTCTAGAAGTTATGTAAAATTAATAATTACTACATTTTGATCATACATTACACATAAAGATTTTTATTTTTAATTTTTAGCAATATTATTAATAATATAGATTTAAAGAAGTAAATTGAAAAGGAGCGACACTATAAGTTATTTACAATTTTTTTTGATAAGATAATTTTCTAATTATAAATTCATCGAAATTGGTTTTTTTAACATTTTGTTTTAGAGTTGATTTACATAAGAAGCAATTTATTCACGTGTATTTCAGATAACTTCATATCTTAGAATTCTGTTTAATGGCGAAATTATTGTTATTCAGATTTAACTCCTAAATTTACACAAGGTTTGTGGCCTAATGGTCTTCTACATTCATTAAATATCCAAGTTGTCACAGAAATATGTATGAACCTAAGGAGGTTATCGCGCAATGCAATTTTTCTTCATTAATTTTATCCGGTTTACATATGCACGAGCAAACCAGTGTAATGCACGAACTAATGCAAGCTAATTAAATAAATATTAAAATGTGCTTTATTAAATATGTTTAATTGATAGATTTTAATAAAAATTTATTTTGTTTTGAAAAAAAAACAGAATAATCTGATTTAGAAGAAGTAATGATTATATAAAAGTCATAAAGAATTCAACTGATATTTTTTAATATGGTCAATCTATAATATATTTAACTTTTTTTAGAAAAAGTAATTAAGTCGTGTAAAAAGTGTAAGAGAGAAAATATATCTTTTATGAAATTGAAATATGAAACGAGAACGAAGATAAAACTAATGAGATGCACGAAGCATTCAGTTTTTATCATAAGTTTGAATAACTTCTCTTTTACGTTTTATAAAAACTTTATTTTGTGCTGTATCATAAAATGAGTATAACAAAGGAATAATTTTTCAAACGCCTTTCGGACTGCATGTATAGTTTGATCCGAAAACATATCGAGAAAAATATGTAATATAAAAATAAGAAATTTAAGCATGTTCTCTGAACTTATCAGATGACATTGATTTCTTTTCGTGCTTTGTAAAATCGTACTTGTAGAATCTCATATATTTATGTAGCAGTTCAAAGTCCTTACGCGTATAGTGTAAAAGTCTAGTTTGTGTGCGAGAATTTCGGAAAAGTTGCCCACGAAACTTTTGCGCATTCTTGAAACCGAGTCTTAAAACTTTTCCGAAAGCTACTTCGCGCCGCGGCATATTTCCTCGTTCGATTTAAGCCGAAGGATTTTACTATCCTCGCACTTCGGATTTTACGATCGGTGTTCCCATATCGCAATCGCGTCGGATAAACTTATCTGCTCTTCCAACGTTTTCCCTCCCCTCTCACACCCTTCAATGGTGATTTAGTAGACCAATAATATCGGTGTCGCAATAATTTTCTCCGCGTGACAAATATATACTAAAACGTATCCGTAGCAATTTGTATCAATAACCGTATTTCATTATACCGTATCACGGTGCTACCGGTCTTGGTGTGATTTCGATTTCATATTGGCGCGGCAACGCTTGCATCTCGCCCTCAAACTGACACGAATGTATACCAATCTTTCGAAAGAAAGGGGATTGTGCGCAAACGAGGCGCATATAGAGAAAAATAGCACTTTATAAGCAAGGAGATTCTGATGAATTTTTAACATCACGTAGGATAAACTACGAGAGAAAAAGACAAGGGTACGAAGATGCATAGAGCCGACTAAAGTGTAAAATGAATTCAACATAAAAGCAACAAAATAAAAGATGGAGAAAGAGGTTTAATAAATTTTTGCACATAAATTTACGTCGTATTTTACGCTCTAGGGAAAGACGGTTATTGAAAATTTATATTTTTACATGCATACTTTTTTCACTAGAGCTTTTTCATAAATTTTAGGAAAAAAAGGTAATTTATTTATTTCGTATTTTCAATTAAAGACGCGACGCATCTGCTGTGTTTGAAAATCCAGGCTTCGATCAAGTTCTACTTTCCCTCGTCACTGTAAAATTACGGCAACGTCTCCGGAATATGTAATCGCGTTCTTCCGTTCAATATTCATCGAAGCGTCGTCGTCGTCGTCGTCGTCGTCGTCGGGTCAAAGTAATCACTCATAGCTTTGCGCGGGCATAACGATTCTATACTGAAGGCCGATTAGTGCATTTGTCATGCAGCCGGGGTATCTGGGGTCGCGCATACTCCCATTAGTGACGTACGGGCCTCAAGCCAGACAATGCTTCCATGCGAAGACGGCGATCTGAATTCTACTAAGTGAGCCCTAGCTGATCAAT